GAGTACATTGTGAAGAGACTGAGACATATTATTCCAACATTCAGGTACTTCAGAGATATTCTAGATTAAAAATATCTATATAATCTTTATTATGCTCTTGTTTATCCTCTATTACTTTACGGAATTTTGGCTTGGGGGAGTTATGAATAATAATTACAAAAAGCTTGATGTAATCCAAAAATTAATTCTAAAATTGATTGTCCATAGGGACATTACTTATTCAGGTGATTCTCTATATGTGGAGGCTCAGCTATTAGATTGCAGACAAATTTATTTTTATTGTGGTCTAATACATTATATTAAATACTTGAATCGTACCATTCATAACTACCGAACAAGATTCAATCAAAATTCAATGTGTATTCCACAAACATCAAAAACCATTACACGACGATCTCTGTTTTTCTTGGGATCAAAATTCTATAACTCCATACCAGAGTCATTAAAAGTAATTAATTCAAATAGATCATTTGAAAAAGAACTAAAAAATCGATTTTACAACAACCAAGGTGCTCCATCAACGAAATTGTAGATATGAAAAATCATTATCAAATCAATAATATTTTACATCCATACTTTCACTTTAGTGATAATTGTTTGGATATTATTAACGGTTCTTTTTCATACACTGACTGTACTTTTAGTTTTTATTTTTAACAAACTCAAACACAAGTGCAAACTTTTTTGGGTGCTTGACGGTTATTGTGCACAATATTTAATACACCTATTTTCCCGGAATTTGGGACAATAAACATTCTTATTATTATTTACATAAGTTTAGTAAACCATTTAATTTTCTAGCATCTACTGGAAGCAAGCTTGCGTACAGCAAAGGTAGTTCCTGAACCATTTTGTTTCATATATCATATATTATATTTCATTTCACGAGGCACTTATTTATTTTCAATTTTTCTCCACAATCGTCTTTGTTCCAATTTTCCGATATTACCTTTCCACGACCAACCGCAGACAGGGCTCTTTAGCTCTCATCAGTACGATATAGATCTGTAATATAGGTCTATATCAGGTTTAGATTTGGAGATGAACGAATTATCTGTCAAACCTTTTTATTTCACAGCCATGAAAGACACTGACTGTGATGCGACAGATCCCAATGCATAACGTGCAGAAGAGGATGCTATGTTTGAAACTTTTTGTTGTGTTTTAATAATTTATCACTATTTATGACACAAAAATGCCCGAATTTAATGGTTCAGCAACTGCACTTAGCTTCTTTGCATCTGCCAGAATTATTTTGGTTCTTGAATTCATTTTAGTTCGCTTTGAAAACTGCTCTTTTCAAGCAGCTAATACTTGAAACGCTTTTGCTAATAATTACCGTAACTTCACACTACGCCGCGAAAATCATAGTAAGTCAGACAGTAGGTTTAACAGTAAGTTAGGACTTCCGATTTACATCGAAGACTAAAGTAACTCAATTTGATGTAGTTTTCGCGGGAGCAACCGCCACTATTATACTTACTATATGACGTAGAAGATTTACTGGTTGCCTATAGTTGCATAATATAATATGAGAAATCTCCGAACGTCCGGCAATACTGTTGGAATAAAGCACATGCGACGTTTGCATGACAAAAGGCTGCACAGGAGAGAGATGCTGCTCCAACAAAGATAGAAGATGCTACTTAAATATTAGAATATTTACTCGACTCGACGACTGCGAGAGTGAATAGCACCCATCGGTACCTAGAGAGAGAAATATCACTTCTCCTTAGATAAATGCGGTAAATAATGGCGATGCCTCAGATCAGTAGCAAAAAACATAATTTTCTAATACGTGGAGTATTTTTCGATTCAATTTAGAATAATCTCCCGCCCTATATTTACCTAGAACAAGGTTACAGTTAGAAGTCCTTGAACAACTAAATGTATTCCTTGTTTGACTTATTCCCGATTTGTGTGCATCATCGTCCAATAAGAAATCATTTCCCAAAGGAAAATCCATTAAATATACAAACTCCGTCCTAATTCCAAACGAAAATAAACTTGATTTACCGAATGTAAACAGAAAGCTTTCAGTAACTCTTGAGGGTTTATGGGTTTATGGGCTTAACATTGAGGAGTTTCGGCACACCCTCGCTACTCTACTTACGCAGGTGGGATATGCATAATTTTTCATATCCACATTGTGTACTATTGTGGGAGGGAAGAGTTCAGCTTTTTACATTGGAGCAGCTGCCAAAGGCATAACCTGGGATTCAGGGTTTGCGAAAAATAGAGGCGTTCGTTTGATATCAGAAGTGGTGGAAACTCCTTCTGGCAAATTGATCACCGTTATCAATACTCTAAGAACAAGCCTTTATAAGATTAAATAAATTTTGACAAAAACTTTCAAAATTTGCTGTACCACAGAATATTTAAATTGTTCAAAAGTCACAAACCTTTAAAATTTTCCAGACTCTCAAATTACTTTCAAAATGAACCTTATTATTAAAATTTCGACGTCATATGAAAATTTTCATTTTCAAAATTCACAAATTTTAAAAAAATTTTAAAGAATTCAGTTTACAACATTTCAAAAATTTCAAACGATATCAAGATTTCCAGAAGTTTTTCGAATTTTCAAAATTTCAAGTTTTCAAAATTTCGGTTTTGGAAACTTTAAAAACACATCTATCGTACTGTGCTGATATTATTTGTTCTAACCTTAAGCACTGGTGAGCCAAGAAACAAACGCAACAAACCAATGAAGGCCTATTTTCGCGGTCGTGATTTAAAATATTACCTTCTTTTATTGAAATTGTTTTATTTCGATTTTCACTCATACTTTGGGCCATTATACCTGACACACTGAAATTAAATCAAAAACAAAAATATCCCTTCTACATATATTTCATCGTGCTTAACATTGCTTTACAAAGGTTGGAAATGCCAAAAGATTTTCAAACATGTTAAAACTCTTGTGATTTTCAGAATTTTCAAAATATGCAAAATTTTCAAACTACAACTGTTTTCCAAAATACAAGAATTTTCAAAATCTTCTGAATAGTAGTTTTCAGAACTATCGACATTTTAAAAATTTCTACAATTTTCGAATTTTAAAATTTTTCTCGATATTCAAAATTTCAATAACTTCAGGGTTTAAAAATTTTTCAATACACATTTTGAAAGCTTGAAGAAGTTTTGATGTTTTCAGAATTTTCGAAATGATGAGATACAATTGATGTGAATTAGAACAATGGGAAATATAGGTTTCTCAAATTTTGGTATTGTGGACGTGCTGATGCGATTAGCTTTCAAAATGTTTTTAGCATAATTTTTGATGTTCTCCTGATTTACTGATTTACGAGCGGACATCATAAACCTTCATACGCTGCTTTACAAACTGTTTGAATGTAAACATGTCCGTTCGTTACTCTTCGGTTCTATGTGGAACTAAGTAATCCTCCAGGGCATCTATGAGTCTGAAATAATGTGAAATCCAGAGATCTGGGTGAGTAAATATCTGCAGCGACCCGCATTATTCCAATAAAAATCCCCCGAGAACATAAAAGTAGATCGTCGAGGAAACGTTTAATATTTGTATTGATTCGAACGTCGATCCTGGTCGATGATATTTGCATGTTCTCTGGTAATCTTTGTGATGCGGGCAGCCGTTCAATAATTTATGAGCTCCTCTCAATCCACAGATAAATATTGGATGACGCTGTGTTAGAGAAGATATCTCTCTTTTTGTTTCCACCGCCTTCCAGAAAACGCTAACTTTCAAAGGAACCCGTCTTCGGCGGATCGGAAGTTTCGCACCAAGCGCACACGACGAATTATGGTTTTTATTTGACTTTGCTAAAGTTGGGCGAGCACTAAGGGTCGATTTACATGACACGGTGAAGCGCTGTCTACACTTGTGAAGCAGCATCTAACAAGGTTAGAATAGTCATTAGTCATCCAAGATTATTGACAATTTTATCGTGGACGAGAAGGTTGATTTGACTTTGCCTAAGTTTCTAGCTGCCTCTTATATTCGGATACACCATCAGTGGCATTTCCAACCTTCGTAAAGCAAGAAATATGCCAGAAGTTGGTCTAGGGCTACGGCCCGAGCACACGATGTCATAAAGATGGATAGTTTTGTTTTTGCTTCCATTTCAGCGTGTCACGTATAACGATCCAAACTATGTGCTAACATTGAAACAAAACAATTTGAATAAAAGAAGGCAACAATTTAAAGGGCGACCGCGAAAATAGGCCAACATTGGTTTATTACGTTTGGTTCTTACACCACACATGCACAACACATTTGTTAACAGGGACTTCCTTGTCTATGCGTGGTAATTAAAACTAACTGGGAAACAGAACCGAGTTTCTCATTATGCCCTAGCTCTATTAGAAGTCGTTATTTATCCCTTGTACCAAGAAAGAGCACACTGCAAGAAGAAAAATCGGAAGGCAACCCTTTATCCCAGATAATAATGTACCGACAACAAAGGCAACCCGGTAATATTTTTACTTGTTGTCTGTATAAGCTGAGCTTTTGTTTAGTTTAATAGATATACCCTCCTCTTGCATTTTGCAGCTAGCTGGCTGCATCCAGCCTGCTCTTTCATGACCAGCTATCTTTTATGCTTTTATTTCTCGAGGAAAATCGGGAAATTATGCTCTATTAGGAGAGTCGTTTCCGTAATTATATATAAGGACGGAGAGCGTTATGAGTTTTAAGTGGGTTGTAATATGAGAGCATAATGAGAATGAGCTCTTCGTGAGTACAGAAAAGTAACTGAACTATCACTTTCTACATTTAACACGTTGAAGGAGAGTAAGCGTCCTTCTACATTGAAAGGTTGCTTGATTAGAGATTCAATTAGGTCATCATTAAATTGCACAAAACGGTATCTACGTGAACGCCTTTGCAATACTTTTTATATAATATACAAAAAATAATTCCACGTAGTCAAGCAGATACAACATAGTCTTTTTATACCATCTAATGGTTTTCCTTCTAGTGGCACAGGTTGGTGTCATCTGATCGCGTCGATCAATACCTGACATGTGTACGTTATATATGACTACTTCTTCTGGCTTATTTTCTTCTTTCCCATACCTATTCCTTACTGTGATCATACGTGGATGATTTTTGGTGGTAATCACTAGAACATCTCGTTTGTCTTTCCATTTGGCCAAATACACTCGCTTTTTTCTCATCCAAAAATGTTCACCGAGCTTCAGTTTTTGCTTTACTAGAACCTTTGGATTACCTCGACGATTAGACCTGAGGGTACCATTAGTATGCGTCTTCAGTCTGAATAGTTTTTAGGACAACAAAACGCTGTTATAGTAATTATCCATAAACAATTTCAGTAGGTAAAGTTTCATTAGCCGCAGAACTAACTTTCCTCTTAAAGTAAAATGGCCATCGTTTTCTTTTTCTGTTTTGCTGTTATCGTTAGCATGGTTGCTGCTGTGTCCACTATACATTTCCATATTCAACACGTATCCATCAGACGTCGTCAACTCATAGAATTGTATTCCGTAGTTCCGTGTTAGGTCCATAAGCTTTTCTATATTGATCTATGTCTAAAAGCATCTGAATTTTTTCTTTGCCTTTTGATTTTGGCGCTGAACAGCATAAAATCCTAAGTACATGTTCAAACCTTCTTGCGGACATAACGAAAGGAAATATCGTGTGATAATCAAGTATGTCCTTGTAGGAAAAAATTCTACGATCGTTGGTGGTTGAAACTTGTCCTTGCAGCAAACAAAGGCCAAGAAAGGCCCTCATTTCATGAATGGTAATTGCTCGATAATTTGCTGACCTGCTGTGCCTAGTTTTTGGCTTATTTGTTTCGATAGTAACTCTCCGTAATCATTTGAGCACTGCACTATGTATTCCAATACTTGCGGCGCGAAGAAAGATTCAAAAACTTCAAGAGGTGTAGAAGTTTAGTCAATATTTATTTTGACCCCTACACTGTTCTCAACAAAATCGAAAACGGGAATTGGTGCTGTTGTGGTTTCCCATGATGTTTCGGATTCGTCGCCATCATCACTCTGCCTTTCAGGATTAGATAAATGAATGCTTTGCTCATCGTTATCTTCCTCTGACGCTGAATGGTTGAATAATAATTCCTATCCCTGGTATCGACTTGGATCTGCTTCTTCCGCATCGAAGTCTGAAGATTCGTTTGGCGCGTAATCTGGATCAGAACCATCATCGCTGTCATGATATGGGTCCACTTCCTCATCGTCGCTAGAGAGTTCGTCGAACAGCTTTTGCAACCTCCGCTGCTCCCGTTCGTAAGGATCATTGGCACCACTCACCTAAAATAATTAAAACAATACAAAATACCTTTTTTATCAGATTGATGAAAAGTATAAAAGTCTCTTTTATTTCTTGTAGAATGATCAGATAATAACTATAATGGTATCACATAACCTTACATCATTATTACAAAACAATAACGTTGGCAAGTAATAAAGTATTTAGAAACGTACCAAAAACAAACAGTTACTACTTACACGGCCGTAAAAACTGCAATAAAAATAAATGTCGAAAAATAGGAAACACGAGGTCTGTTCCGCGTAAAAATATGGCGGTATCAGAAGAACCATGCGTTCATCTTGGCACCAGAAGAATGACTAACTAGGATTGCATGGATCGCTGGACGTCTATCGACGTTCCGTGTAAATTTGGACGGAAAGGGGAAGTGGGAGACACGTAGCACGTAGCAGTGTATAAGCATTTTTAATATAAATGCGGCAGTATTCTGATACTATTAGTACTAAATGTGGCAGTAACCAACCATCTTTAACATTCGCTATGGCAAATGGGACGTCAATAAACGTACTGCCTTTAGTAACAGAATAAGTTTAGACGCCAAATGGCGCTCTGGAAGAATTTACCACGCCAGGGAGGAGGTCAATCGGCGTTACTGCCCTTCAACGTGTTAAAAAAAGAATGGCGTCCCGCAGGTTGACTGAATATATGATGTGTGGAGTATGTGTAATTGGAGCCTAAACTTACTGGTGTTTGGAGTGTATCTAAAGAAACATAAAAAAAACATAAAAAAGTTGAGGTATACCGCTACAACTCCAAATCCCCAATTTTCAATCCATACAAATTTTTTTCCGAAAATGACCAAGGTCATCAGAAACGTTAAAAAACTCAGTTTCGGCACGTTTTTATTATTCTGCGTTTTTATTCCTGCCTTGGCCGCCACTGGATCGATTTACAGAAACTGTAAAGCCTTATTGCAAAAGTAGTAACCTTGTGTGAAAATTTCATTAAAATTTGAGCGGTGCTGTCAGAATTGGAGACGGACGAAGTATTAGTGGACATAACGAAAGAGACAGGCAGATAGATCGACGGAAATGACTGTCATAATTTTGCGTGATGCACATGCCATATAACATTAAAAAACAATAGGTATCTCATTTTCGAGACTTTTCGCGACTATAAATAATACTTCATCGCCAGGCGTGGGAAGTAAAATTAGGATCATATACGAGTCCCTTATACGATTACAATATACTATCGCTCTTGACTTCCATTGGATGTAGTTTTGGCCCTTACTACGCAATGCTTCAGTTGATGATCAATCCTCAAACATTAAGCAAGTGGGCAAAATTTTCAAGACTTCAAAATGTATAGGATTTTTAAAATATGCAAAGTTTTCAAAATTTTATAACTTTCAGAAATCAGATTCTCAAATTTTCATTGTTTTCAAATTTTTCAAAATATTCAACATTTTAAATCATTCAGTTTCAGAGATTTCAGGATTTTCATTTCACCCAATTTAAAATTTCCATAATTTTCGAAATTCTCAAAGCAATCTTAATTTCCAAATTTTGCATGATTTAAAAATTTCCACTATTTGCGAAAATGCTGTCCTGATAAGTAAGTTGGCAACATGCGTGGTTGCAACGAAGCATCGCGAGCAACACCGTGGAAAGTTTTTTCGCCGTGCCGAGAATTCTGCTGTCTCGTGAAACTCCAAACAGGTCTTTTTTTAATATCGGTCCAACTCGCTGGAAGCTTTTCAATTACCTAATTAGAAAGTTCCTAACAAGTTTTCGAACTAATTTCGAGGGCTTTAAAAAGAAATTATTCATTTAAGTTGGTTAGATTGACTACAGTGTATCCATTAATTACAGACGAAAGGACATCGCATGTCAGCTCAATGCTCAGTGAGTTTTTAAGCCACTCAGTTAACGACTTACGGCAAGGGAAACGTCCAAGTTCTAAACCTGGTTCAGTTATGTCCTTCAAGGGTCAGTGGGGCGCTTCCATTTGTACAGTAGGTTACTTCTGTAGGATACGAAGAGAGAAATGATAATAATAGCATATAATGATAAAAGTGAAAACCACAGACCCATCTTAGAAGGTTTCAAAGTCCACCCGGTACCATTTTATTTTTACTACAAGGGCAGTACGTAAATAGTTTGATATGGGCAACAATGTCAGGATAATATTAAAGTCACTTACTTGGTGACGGATAAGGGCGATATGATCGGATTGTCGGGGCCAATATCTATTTTTAGAAAAATGACTTGAGTACCTCCCATATTCAACCGACTCATAACATGCACTACCTTAGGATTACATTAATTATCCGTAGTGGTACCAATTCATCATTATTTATTTATGAATTATTATATACTGGTCCGCAGACCCTAAGAGCGGGGGCACACAGCCCTTTGGGACACACAGTCCCTGGGGTAGTCCCTCATGGACACACAGCCCTCCACTTAGGCAATTTTAAGCACACAGCAGCCTATATAGATCAACAAAGATTAAAGCACACAGCAACCTATGTTGATCCCAGGCGTGTAAAAAGATATGCTGAGCTTAATGATTGTTACGAAAAGCAGTGAAGGATCCAGGATATCACGTTGGCCAACGGTCGTTGTGTCAATATCCAAAGGCTCCGACATTACCTGTTAATCAGAGATAGCCGAGCAAGATGACAAGTTTTAGAATAACAATCCCTACGCACATGAGATACATTCATGTGCCAGCGATTATCAAGAGAAAATGGTTAAGCGGTAATTCAGATCTAGGATGCCATGTCGGCCAAAGGTCATCCTGTCAACATCCCAAGCGCTCCGATGTTCCCCCTGATAGAGGAAACCGAGCAGGAATTAACATAACCACCTAAATCCAGCAATCGGGTTCCGAAAGTCCCATAACAATCCCCAGTGACTTGAGGCGTCACCTCTGTATGAGCCAGTTAATTTCCCTATCCTTATCCGCAATTATCGAGTCCGCAAGCCATTTATAGAAATATGGATTTATGATCCAAGCATCTTTATAAATATAGATATATGCTCAAAGCATCTTTATAAATGTGGATATATGATCAAAGCCTCTTTACAAATATGGCTTACGCCATACATGATCATGAATATAAAAGTGTTATAGTTATAAATCCATACAGTACAGCAGAATAAAGGAAAAACTCAGTGATTGCTCACCTTTCAGGGAACCAAAACACTACACCCAATAGCACATCAACACTGTAATTACTTGGTCTGAGAAGCGATGACTATTTGAACTGTGATGCGAGCCACGCCTGCGTTTTTAAGAAAGTTTATCCTGTACCCAGAGAAGAAATGGAATGTAAACAGGCGTAAGGGCCGTCGAGCTGAGTGACACTAACCAGACTTGTGAACCGTCTGGAAAGATTTCGTGTGCCACAGATTTGAACTCGTATGCAAAAATGTGTTTGAGATATTTCGTAAGCTTACACTTCGAACATTATACGGACAGACGATAAGTTATTTGAGAGAGTCGGCCTCGGGAGTTATAAAATATAACTACTATATTTATATTTTGAGAAGATCTTTTATGTAAGACATATTATGCAACCAGGCATATCTTGCTGAAATGAATATGTTTCCTCACTGAATTTGTAACCATAACCAACTGCATATAAGGTTGTTTCATGTTTATTAGTAACATTCATAATCAGTATGTTGTGCGCAAAGACGCGACAAAATTATCAGGCTGGCCAAATCTTTGACAGGCACGGGTATTACGTATCTTGAAAAGGGACATTATGTCGATTTTTTATTATTATTATTATGATAATTGAGATGAGCAGAGTATACAGTACTATAAGCTCATGCAGTAAATATAGTGTACGGACACGTAACACAAATAGAAAAAAATAAAAAAAGACAGTTCATAGCTATAAAGTTTGTACACTCCTCCAGCTATCACACTGCACTTTGAAGCTATTAACTGAAGTAGCACCAACCACACTTTCAGGTAAACTATTCCAGGTGTTGAATATGCGGTTGGGAAGAAACCACTGTCGGACTGTTGTTTTAAATGGCTCCTTATGCAGTTTGAAGCTGTGTCCGCGTAGATTGCTGCGCGACAGACGGTATAGATGCATGAGGTTGGTGCCCATCAAATCATGAAGTATCCTGAACGTAACTATAAGATCGCCACGAAGTCTTCGCTCAGAGAATGAGGTCAGGTTGAATAATTCAAGGCGATCTTCATAGCTTGGTCTTCGTGCTCCAAAAGGGATACGAGAGGCCCGACG